TTGAGTGGTATACCTTGTGTCATGTTGTTGTGATTGAGTGGTATACCATGTGTCACGTTGTTGTGATTGAGTGGTATACCTTGTGTCATGTGTTGTGATTGAGTGGTATACCTTGTGTCATGTTGTTGTGATTGAGTGGTATACCTTGTGTCATGTTGTTGTGATTGAGTGGTATACCTTGTATCATGTTGTTGTGATTGAGTGGTATACCTTGTATCATGTTGTTGTGATTGAGTGGTATACCTTGTGTCATGTTGTGTTTTGTACGGGACGGTCTTGATGATTCCTGCCAGTTAGAAGCACTTGGGAGAATAGGCATATTGTTTGTTACAAAATTATGCTACAAGAAATATTTTCTTTGGCAATTGATTTTGACATCAGCATGACTTATTTTTTTAATGTATAAATTGAGAAATTGAGTGATTAAGTGAGAAATAACTGGAAAATCGATTGCTTGGCGAACGGATAATTCTTCACTTAGGCTTCCACTCTTCCAGCATATCTGGCGTCGTGTAACGGCCAAACCAACTTCACCTCGCCATTTTCCACAGCCGTTCGTCAAACTCTTTCTCTGTGGATTTCTCTACAGCCCAAACCGTGCGCTGGTGTACAGGGTCCAGGCCCCCGACCTGTGGTTGTTCTATCTAGTGGTATGAAAGTCGTCTGCGACACTCAAACTGACAACGGTGGCTGGGTCGTGTTTCAGGTGAGATCAACTTTGTGTGACGTAATACAGCCTGGTACAGTAAAGGTGAGGTCAACTTATTCTGGTACAATACAGACTAAACGATATATAACTAAGACAGGTGGTACAGTACAGGTGAGGTCAACTTATTCTGGTACAATACAGACTAAACGATATATAACTAAGACAGGTGGTACAGTATAGGTGAGGTCAACTTATTCTGGTACAATGCAGACTAAACGATATATAACGAAGACAGGTGGTACAGTACAGGTGAGGGAAGTCAGGCAGCTGCATAACAAAGAAAGTTTTGGA